CAAGATATGAAATATAGGCAGCACTTACCTTCATAAAGAGGCTGATCTATTTTCACAAAAAAATAAGCATATGATTATATTAAATAAGTTCTCAAACATATGCTCTTTACTGATGATGAATGACTGGTTAATGATTAAAAGCTTAATGTGTCTTGTTTGTGTAAATGCAACTTCTTTTAATTTGTAGATTTTGTTTAATTATCAAGCATTTTGTGTTTCAGGAGAAGAAATTTTTGGTCTTTTAATGCTTGTGTATAAGAGTGATTTATGTGGTGGAAATATAATTAATTCAAAATAGAGATACCAATGTTTTATGTATATAAATTAGAAAACAAAGTTAATAACATATGAATTGAATGATTTATACTCTACATTTTCTTCACTCATCATGAGTTACATGTATTGGATATAGTCAGACTATCAAACTTATCTTTTAATCTTAATGACCAGTATATAAGCTTTATAGTCCCTAAACTAATGTTGCATGGGTTATGTTCTCTATATATAACCATGCATAATCAGGAAAAGGATAGTGGTGATGTTGTTTCAAAACAAAATTGTGGCTTCATTAGAAAGTGCTCCACTTAAAACTTAAAAACCACTCTCAGTATGTCAACTCTGTAAGGTGTCCTAACTGATATAACTAAGTAAGTTACTTATATCATTCTCTAGAAATATTATACCCATGCAATTCATAATAATAATAATAATAATAAACTCATAATAAAGTAAATTAGTTTGCATATTTTAATTAACATGTATATTATAATTAGTTACATACCAACATTCTTGAAATATAAATAATTATAGCTATAAGTAGATTGCTAACCAGAAGTTGGCAGTTCAAACCCACCAGCCACTCCTCAGAAAGAAGACTGGGCAATCTACTTCTGTAGTGATATCACCTCGGAAACACAAGAAGGGGTTGGTATGAGTCGGTTCTGAATTGAAGGCAGTGAAGTTTTTTTTTTTTATTTTCCCCATAATTAAATCAATAATCAATAGGATAAAAAAATGAAAATATAAGCCCCTCCCTCATTTTCCTTATCATGGCAATGAAAAATACCTTGGTGAGTCTCTGTTTCTTACATTTTTATTCTTTATCTATTGCCAGCTATTTATTTCCATTAATATCTTTCCATTTATTTTTTCTGTTTTATGTAAAAAAAAAAATGCAGTATACACATGATTTCCCATCTTTATTTACAGTTAATGTTTACCAGAAAGCTTTTTCAAGAGATGTAAAAATATATGACACAATATAATAATATGGCTTTACTTAATATCCTATGTAACATATATATATTTCTATTTTGGTGGTGCAAAAATCTTCTGATTAGCTAACTCAGATGTTTACTAATAAAGACAATATGTTTTAAAAATTGAAATTGTTACCAAGAAATCGGATAAACTTTTAACCTTTCAATACTCGTTGGGAAGATCTTAGTCTTTTTGTTAGCATTAGATTATTATTTCAAAGCTATTTTAAAATTTCTATCAGTACCAGGATATAAACTCCAGAGCTGCAGCCCTCATTCAAATTAATATATGAAGAAATCAAATCAGGAAAGAAAATTTTCAAATTATTATTTGCACTGGAAAATAAAGTGTTACTTTAATTTATTGAATGACTTAAAAAATTATCTGCTTAGCTTTTCTTTATGCAAGGCAGAAAAAATACTTAATTTGGTTTTAAAAGCAAAACATGTATCTTTACTTACATAACAGTTTATTTAAAGTGCAATTGCAGTTACTTGACAATTTTACACAGAGATAGATACACATTATTTTGACCCAGATAAATGAAAAATCATACTCTTGTGTGTGTGTGTGTGTGTGTGTGTGTGATTTGGGTGAAAGTTTTCAGGGAAAATTAATTTGTTTTCCATTGAACAATTCATACACATTTTGTTTCATGATATTGATTGCATCCCCATAATTTATTAGCTGGCTTCTCACTTTCTTCCTGTCATTACCTTCTCCCTGTGACCTTCTTTCCTATGCATTCCTGTCCTCTAAGTGATCTCCCTGTGCCAATGCTGCCCTCTTTTCTCCCATGGTTGATTGCTCTAAAGAGTGTTCCTACTTGGCATAGATGTTCGTCTTGTAGGCCTGTCTATTGTTTGGCTGGAAGTCATAGGAGTGAATTCAATTCCCAACTTGAAGGATGATGAGGGGCTATAGTCTCAGGAGTTTCATCAGTGTCTTTCAGACAGTAAGTGTAGTCTTTTTGTAATCTTGAGCTTTGATCCACATTTTTATCTCATTCTATACAGGAACTCCTCAACTGATCCCTTTGTTAGTGGTTGACAGTGATAACTAGATACCGTTTAGTTCTTCTGATCTCAGAGTCCTCTGGCTGCGATTCTCATGGTCCAATACCCCCTTGGACTAATTGTTTCTATGCATCTTTGATTTTCTTCATTCTTCTTTGCTCTGGATGTTTCATCTCACATGACCACTTATAAGCTTTCAAGACCACAGCTGCTACTCACCAAAGCAACATATAGAACAATGTCTTTGTGTATCATGTTATGCCAATTGAGCTTGATGACCCCTATCACCATGGCTCCAAGCCTGCTGGCCCAGTGACTGGCTCCCTCAAGGTTTTTGGATATGTTTAAGAAGTTACTATAACTTAGTCTTCTGTTAGCTCTATAGTATATGTAGACATATTATCTGTGAACTTAAGAAATAAGTCTTAAGAAATGAGCCTTCTTAATCACTATAATTTATTACGCTTATCCCCTCAATTATACCAACTTTAAACAATAATCTAGAATATATTGATTAAAAAAAAAAAAAAAGACAAAAAACATGGCCACTCAATTGTTTCTGACATAGTGACCCTATAGGACAGAGTAGAACTGTCTAATTGGGTTTGCAAGAC